CTAAAGAAGCTATATAGGAACACTCCAGGTGCTTTAAGTAAATTCACATCTCCAGGGACAGATGGTGTGTCAGAGAGTATTAAAGGAACTTGAAGATGTAATCTCATGACTTCTGTCCATCATCTTTGAGAATTCTGAGAATACAAGAGAAATCCCTGAAGGTTGAATGTGGGCCAATGTTGCTGTTTTCAGAAGGGGAGAAAGGTGCATCTGGGCAGCAACTGAGTAGCGGGCTTGACATCAGTATTCGTGCTTTTTATCAGTTTTAGAACAGATAAATAGTTGGCCTGTGAGCTCTTAGAAAAAGTATGGTGATTCCTAAGAACCAGTGTGTCTTTCTTAAGAGCGAATCTTGTTGAGCTAATCATGCATCTTCTTTTGATAGAGTCACAAGCTTGGTAGATTGGATAATACTTTAAATATAGTGTATTATAATTGTAGGAAGGCTTTTCACAAAGTCTTCTGTGAAATTCTTAGGTCCGACCTGGTAAAATGTGGGCTAAACATAGCTACTCTGAAGTGGATTTGTAACCAGCTGATTGGCTGTATCTGAAGAGTGACAAGTAGGATATGGATGCTGCAGAGTTCTGTCTTTGTTCCAATTCTGTGTAAATGACCTGGATGAGGAGGTAGGGAAGGGCATGCTCATCAAATTTGGAGATGACACCCAGCTGGGAGATGTACCCTGTTTCCCTGAAAATAAGACCTAACCTGAAAATAAGCCCTAGTATGATTTTTCAGGATGCTCGTAATATAAGCCCTACTCCAAAAATAAGCCCCAGTTGAGCAAAACGCTGGCCTTCACCATTGTACAGTAACCAGAAGAAGATGACAGGACAGTATTTGAATAAATGTAGATTGCCATGCATGAAAAAAATACATCCGCTGAAAATAAGACCTAATGCGTTTTTGAAGCAAAAATTAATATAAGACCCTATCTTATTTTCACGGAAACAGGGTAGCTAATACTCCAGAAAATCGAATCTGGATTCAAGATGAGTTTAAGAGATTTGAGAACTAGAGCAAAATAAACAGGATAAAATGTAAAGTTCTATGTTTAAGCAGAAAAAAATCAGATTCATATATACGGGATGTGTGACACCTGGCTTGTTGTTAGTAGACCACAGAGTAAACATGAGTCAGTGGTATAATGTGGTGACAAAAAAAAGCAAAACACTTAATGCAGTACTAGTTAGTAGACCACAGAGTAAACATGAATCAGTGGTACAATATGGTGACAAAAAAAGCAAAACACTTAATGCAGTACTAGGCAGCTTCAACAAAAATGCAGTTTCTAAGTTAAGAGAAGTAATAATACCATGCTATTCATTTTTAATCAAGCCCTGTTGTGAGTATGTGTCCATTTCTAAGGACATCAACAAGCTAGAACATGTCCAGGGGGTGCAACCAGAATGGTAGAAGATCTGGAAATCAGGTCCACTCCCTGAAGTTTGCTCTGACCGCTGTCCAGAGGGAGAGACTAGATATCTGATGTGATTCTACTTCCTTACACTTCTCATTATTTGCTTACATGTTTGCCGTTAGAGAGCGTTGTACAGGCAGTAACATCAAGGAGCATGAGTTAACAGACCTTCAGTTGCTGGATAGGCTGCAGCATGTGCTCAGTGTTTCTGACTCCTAATATTAGCCCTATCCAATGATGTCCAGGAAAATCAACAGGGGCACAGTCCTGCTGACTGTCTTCTGGTTAATGTCAGCATGGGCTAGAAAGGTAACTTCATGTCCTGAACTGCATCAAAAACCAAACATAAATGGACAGACAGTCTGCACTATCTAGTTATGCTGTGGAAGTGAGTAATCACTGCCACCTCTCTAATGATGGAAAAAGGGTAATCAGTTTATAGCTGGAAAAGGATATCTCGTTTTCCTTATGCTGAAAGGGGACTTCTTTAGGTATAGGCTTACAGTCTTTTGTTGTTTTTTACTTAGCAGCTAAACAGCTCATAAAGCCAAATGCATGGTAACAAATCAGTATGTTATTTTCAAGGATGGGGACTCGTGACTCTCTGTCAAGTCCAACTTAAGTCACGCCAGTGACTTGACTCAGACTCAGCTTAGGGGTTTTTGGGGAAACTCATGACTTGGAACAATTTGTCCGAGGCATGATGTTGAGTCCCTATAGGCCTTCCTACCTGTTGCTGTCACCACCTGCCATCACCATCTTCAGAGCAGCAAGCCCGGCTTCCCTTCTAGGAGTCAGCTCCTACCTCTGCCCGTGCATCTACTGCCCAGCTGAAACACCAGCACATGCACAGAGACAGCAGGCAGCTTCCTTTCCCAGAGCTGGCTGCTGCCCCCCCCCAGCACATGTGCCAGAGAGACAGCAGCTAGCTCCAGAAAGAGAAGGTGGCCCACTGTCTCTGTGCATGCACGTGCATACACCAGCCCAACTTCCCTTCCAGACCCATTGTCTCAATGTCCCCTCCCCCGGGAGAGACTAGTGACTCAAGATTCAGTCCCAAAGACTTAAACTCAGACTTGGAAGTCAGTCCTGAAGACTTGCCAACATCCCTTGTTATTTTGATGAAATAAAATCTTGTCCTATACTGTATATTCATTGAAAAGTAAATATCACTTGAAATGCACTGGATTCTTTTGAGTTCCGATAGTTTAAGCGGTCATTCTCACTGAGATACTTTGCTTTTTTACATTTATATATAAAATACTTACTCTGAATCCATGTTAAAGAGCTACCAATGGTAGTAAACTCCTATGTATCAGACCCTCATTTAGCACTGCAGCATGGAAAGACATCAGAGGTGATCTGCTCTGAGTTTGGAGATTATCTTCCTAGGGTGGATGATGATACAGAGTGGACGTACAAGAGCGGTCATTCCTGTGTGCTGAACGGTAACACTACATCTTATGCAGATTTTTTTTTTATTTGATTCACTTGTGTCCACATTTTAAAAGCATACAAATCTTATAGTGTTATTAGACAGCAGTGATTGCTGGTATGTTGACTGAAGACAGCCTGCTGTAAGAAGATGGCCTCCTGTAAGATTGGCTGTGCAGCAAATGAAATGGGAAATGAAATGAGGTCGGGCTTATAAAATACACCATTTATCAACTATCTAAACTTTAATCCAGCATTTCATTGGTTTTCCTGTACTGCAAACAACTGAAGTGCTAAGAAAACAGTCACAGAAACCCTGTAGGCCATTGTTTAGTGAGTCCAACCTCCTTGCTTTAATAGTAGGCTATCACCAGCAACATTTGAGTATAGAGAAATCCAGTTTTTCTTTATCACGTAACCGTTTTTTATTACAGTATTTCCATAAAGATGGTGAGGCCTTGACACAGAGAAAGTCTATTATGTTTATTATGATTTTTGTTTTGCCACCTAAACATTTTGTTTTGACAATCAATTACTACTTGAAACTATATAAGGAAACAATCTTCAGTATATTTTGTGTATAGTGTAGACGCTGCCTGTATTGTATGCAAGTTCTGGTAGGGCATGAGAAATGTTGCTAATGTGTCATCAGGTTGCTTCTGATATGGCAACCCCATGAATTAATGACCTCTGAAAGGCATTATCATTAATAGTTCTGCTCAGCTCTTGTAGACTAAGTATGAATCATGGCTTCCTTTACCAAGTCAATCCATTTCATATTCTGGCTTCAATTTTTTTTTTTTTTTTTTTTATCTTCAGAAGCATGAGTTTTTTTTTTTTGTTTTGTTTTGTTTTGTTTTGTTTTACATTAATGTCTCTTCCAGGGAGTTTTCTCTTCTCATTATATGTCCGAAGTGTGATGGCCCAAGTTCAGTCATTGCAATTTTATGAGAAATGTATATCATGTTTTCATTCTTAACCCATTGTGTTTCACTTCAAGTAATGCAGAATAATACAAATTGTCAATAGATGAGCTATGTCTGAGACTTCTAGCTGTCAGGGTACCCAAGGATTCTGGACGTTATGTTCATCTATAAGAACATCTGAGACTGTTATTCTAAGTCCCGTTGATAGTTCCACTTTGTCCCACTGAATCCAAGGTTGGGCTATTGAATTATTTATTTTCTCACCTGTCACCGAAATCCTGTTGCAAAGCTACACTGGCAGAAGGGAATAGTATAGCTTGCAGTGGCAAGATACCTCTGATTAACAATTCCCTGCTTGGAGTGCTCATTGCATTCCAGCTGGGTAGCTTTTTGTACAACCAGGAATCCAAGCCGGGAATCTCTAATAGGGATTTTCCTCTGGGAGCTACACCATTTCCCTTGTGTGGACGTAACTACACAACAGAATGTTGGTAATAGTTTCTTTGTAGCATTTTACTAATGAGGATTATGATGATTGTCTGTTAATAGTTGTGGAATGCCTGAACCTCTAGTTGTTGGATACAAGCTTCCCTGCCCGGAAAAGCATTGGACCATAATTCATTTAGTTGCTGATCTGTGAATGTCCTTGTAGCAGCAAGATACCCATGTACTGAAAACTGTTTGAATATTTTATCAGGAATTTAACAGTGGTCATCCTTCTCATACAGGAGAAGAGGCTTATAACTTAACTGGGTCCCTGAACTACTACTTCTGCAGCCTTCCTTCTGTTGAGTATCTGAAACTATAAAACTATAAACACATTTTTAATAGAACTCTCAAATTTTTCTGTTTAGGTGGCTTTAAGTTCATAATCATTGGATTAGCTGTGCATGATACTGAATAGCGTCAGTGGGAAGCTTATCTTTCTAATCTTGTAATATTTTCTATTAATTTTAGCAGCAATCCATTACGATCCTAAGATAAATATTTTAAGAGCAAAGTTAGGCAGGCAAACAGTTAGATGGTAACATAGGTAATGATGGCAAAATAGGAAGCTGGCAGCAATGTAGTCAATGTAATATATAATTAAGACTTGGATAAATTTGCTTTTCCTATCACCCATGTGAGTATATGTGTGCTATATTGTCTTCTAGGGATATAAAATCTCTGTTATTAAGTATATATATTTTCCCTCATTTTCTTATTCTCTTGTTTAGACGAAACTTGCCAATGGCACTTCAAGCATGATTGTCCCCAAGCAAAGGAAGCTGTCTGCAAGCTATGAAAAGGAAAAGGAGCTCTGCATCAAGTATTTTGAACAATGGTCAGAGTCTGACCAAGTAGAATTTGTAGAACATCTCATATCCCAGATGTGTCACTACCAGCATGGGCACATCAACTCGTACCTCAAACCTATGTTACAGAGAGACTTCATCACAGCACTACCAGGTATTTCCATGGGATCATAGAAAGAAGTGGCCTGTCTTCACTTTCTGTGTTTGGCCATTTCCCTCCAGAATTTTAAATCCTGTAAACTGGATTAAGCTGATTGCAAAAGACCACAAATGTGTTTCACAGTTTATTTATTTATTTTGTTTTGTTTTTTATTTATTAGATTTATATACTGCCCATCTAGAACAGGTTTACTCTAATAACAGGTTCTTTTTGACTGGCAGACTACATGTGGGGTTTTATATCCATGCAACATCAGAAATTTACTGGTAATTAGATATAGGGATAGCTAATCTGTTAATTTTGACTTTACTGTTTTCTATTTTCAGGGCCTAGAAATATCATTATGGACCTTGAGAATTTATTTTCCAGTTGGTTGAAATCTAGTAGTAACTTGCAACTAGTGTAGGCATATTGAATCAGTAGATATCTGAGGAGTCAACTGTTCTGTAAGTTCAACTTACTCTAGTTGCAGTTTACTAGTGAATTTTAGTAAGTATTTGTGCATAGTAAATACAGTCTATCCATGTACAAATAAATAAATTTTTGTACATGATTTTGCCTGATCTGGACTTCCTGAATATAATACATTCTGAATGTTATTTTCCCAATATATACATTTTTGTGTGCACTAGTCCCCAATAAGGGTATTTATGTGTACATGTATGAATTGGAGAACTATTGCAGAAATCATAGGCACATTTTGAAGAATCACAGTATATGGATTTGTGTGGCAGTCTAGAAGTGCTTAATTTGGTAATGTCACTTTAAAATATGAACAAAACACATTTGTCTGTCACTACTTAGGCTTGGTGTTGATTGTCTCTCTCTCGATGCTGTGGACCACATCATATGGCCAGTTTGCTTCCTCAGTTTGAAGGGATCTGGGTTAGACATTGCAGCAGCATTATTGCTTCTGATATTACCATTAAAATTACTCTAGAATTTTTTGTCCTACATTTCTTACAATGCCATATCTCTCAAACAGCCTTGCAATGTATTTTCTATGTCTGTGAAGTCTCAGATGTTCTATGTCTGTGGAGTCTCAAAAAGAAGTCCTCATTTTGAAGTATTTTGGCTTGTCACAGTGCCCAAAATCCAGTTTTTGTAAATTTGCATGGCAGAAACTGATTATGTCATGAGCTGGCACCGGTAACAATTAAAACTAATTAAAAGCTTCCTATGCTCCCATTTTAGATTCTGAGGCTCTCTAAGACTCCCTTTTGCCTTTGGGAAGTCTTTGGAGTCTGAGAGAAGGGGGCATTTGTATTCATATATGAATACAAATACCGCCGCACAAGTGGACATGACAAGGGTCCAGCCCCCGGGGCACAACGGTCTACTCACTATTCCGCCGCTACCGCAACCTCCGCAGAGCCTTCCAGTGGCTCCGGAGATCGTGTTTGGTGAGCCACTCTTTGACCTAGCGGAGAGGTTTGTCATCCCGCCTCCTGCCAGGAGTGGCCAGCCAGTTGCCATCTCTGGAGCCATTGGAAAGCTCCGTGGAGATCGCAGCAGTGGCGGAACGGTGAGTGGACCCTCCAGCCCAGAGGGGGCTGGACCCTCGTTATGTCCACCTGTGCAGAGGTATTTGTATACAAATGCAAATACCCCATCTCTAGTCTTAAGATGAGGGGGGGGGAGATGTTTAAAACTCAAAAATTGCTGCTGGTACGAATGGGACAAGTAGCTGTGATTCAGCACGGAGGTCGCAGCAGTGGCAGAACGGTGAGTGGACCCTCCAGCCCAGAGGGGGCTGGACCCTCGTTATGTCCACCTGTGCAGAGGTATTTGTATACAAATGCAAATACCCCATCTCTAGTCTTAAGATGAGGGGGGGGGAGATGTTTAAAACTCAAAAATTGCTGCTGGTACGAATGGGACAAGTAGCTGTGATTCAGCAATGATTTTTGACTTTTAAAATCTCCTGCCCTCTTCCTAAGGTTCCAAAAGTCCTCCCCAAGATAAGAGGGAGCCCTAGGGAGCCTTGGAACTTGGAACCTAAAACAGGAGGTGCGTAGAAAGTTTTTAATTAGTTTTAATTAACTGTTAGCTGTGCCAGCTGATAATCTCATCAGCTCCCACCACATAACTTTATACAAACAGGATTTTGGTCATTGTTTGTGTTTTGTTGGAGTTTTTACCTTTGTGAGCTTGTTTTTCTTTCAATTACAGAATTCATGCTTCTGTATCATACAGTAGAGCTGCTTGGGGGGGCATCGGAACCTATACATAAAAATGCTAGATTTATTTTTAAATAAAGGCTGTGAATGAATAAAGCAGAACCTAGAGATGCCTCTTTCTGCCAAAAAAATTATGTTATAACCGCCCAGAGTAGACCTTAACTGCCCAGAGTAGACTTTTGGTCCAGATGGGTGGGATAGAAATCCAATAAATAAATAAATAATAAATAAGGTACAGAATGAAGGCTAGTCATTGTCCTGCTGTGCAATCATTCTATATCTGCTTATTTCAGCATGTGGTGAAAGTTAGGGCTCATATTTGCTTGCTAATTTGTTATTTTCTTTATTTAGCTCTAGTGATCAAATTCCAAAGTATTAGTACCATTGTTTTCTGTGGTAAGCATACGCTTCAAATGCCCTTTGTGCTAAAGGAGAAATAATATTTTACACATCTGTCAAGTATGCCATGTGCCCTTTGTGCTAAAGGAGAAATAAGCCTTTTTTAACTCAGCTTTAAAAATATTTTACACATCTGTCAAGTATGCCATCTTGTTTGCCAAGAAGTGATACAGAATTGTATTTATCTCCATTAGTTTGTCTTTTGATTTTAAGAATTGTTATCCCACATCTTGTAGAGGCAGGATTCAGAAAATTAACTTTTAACATTAGTTCCACCCCACCCTCACACCTATGCTTAATGAATTCGGAAACGATGGAAGAAAGGAATGAAAGCAACTTTAATGCATGAGAAATTGATTAGGGGACCTTTTGCTTTTCTTATCATCAGCAACAAAGACTGGCATAAACCCTAATAAGAATCATGTGAGAGGTGCCTCTAATTATCCATGTCTACTTCATGTCTGATCTAAGAAGGCCCAGAGTGCCTTTACTATTCCCTACAATTACTCTCTGTTGCTGACAAACTAAACTCAGTCTTCGGGGCAGTTGTAGTAAGAGGAAGAAATGAAGCATTTGATTGCTGTGGATGTACAGTAGCTTCTTTTTAAGGGTAAGAAAGTCAGCTAGCTACAGTATTAATCTGCCATGTTTGCCTCTTTCCCAAATGAAATTGAAGGATAGACTTAGCCAGAGAGCTAAAGTATCTGTGCACATGGTTTAGAGAATTACCCATTCATTCAAGCAAGCCAGGCACTCATATGTGTTACATGCTCAAAATAAGCTGTGTATTGGCCACAACTCCAATTGATGAACCTCTGCTGCTCTTAACAGAGCAGACTTTTTACATATTTGTCCAAATCAGTTGGCAGAAATGGCCTCTTGACTGCGTCCATACCTCTTCTGCATTACAAGGGCAATCAGGTGAAGCTTTATTAGTGAGACATATTAGGGGCCTCTTACTCTTCATAGCCCTTTGCATACATTAGGCTCAAGTAGAAGGCAATAATTTAATGGAGGAATCCTCCTAGTTCAAGGGCCTCAGGAGAATTCCTTATTAGTCTATGTGAAATTAACCACTTTATTACTGCAATATCCTTGTTATGTTTTTGTCAATGTTACCTTGTCTCTTATTTTACACCAGCCATGTTGGGGCACTTACAGCCTGTTCCAATTGCCATTGTTGGAAGATGTTTGTAACTTGTAGCAATCAGTTGCATGTTTTTTTTTCCTTCCTGGCAAAGTAAATGGCATCAGTAAAATTGTTTTTTGCTTCCTCTTCTTTTTGTGAGAGTTTCATCACAGATTTTTGTTTTCACACATGTGTGTAAACAACACACTCTGCTCATGAAGAGTACATATTAAAAATATATGTGTTCAGTTCTTCATGATATCAAAAAGCTTTTCTTTTAGCTAAAAAGCAGCATTTGAGCTGTTGGACTAAAAGAACAGCTGTAGTAGCAAAATGAGAAATGGTCCTAATATAGCAAGATTTGGGGGATGCATCATCAAGCGAGAATAGCCTTCCATAGAACATCCCTCTAGTGCTAAAACCCATAGAAATAGATTAGAATGACTTTCGGGACTCTTTATCATCTTTAAAGCTTTCCTGTTTCTTACTTAGAAGAAGCTACTGCTTTCTCAACTCAACAGATTATTTTCTGCCGAATAATCCCAGCTCTATAATACAGAAAAGGAAACAAGCAATGATGGGGAAGAAAGTGTGTTCTCAACAGTTGTAGACTCATAGGGAGCTCCCCAGCATTCACTGTCTGGCTTCACTTTTCTTCCAGCTCGAGGCCTGGACCACATTGCTGAGAATATCCTGTCGTATTTGGATGCTAAATCTTTGTGTGCTGTTGAGCTGGTATGCAAGGAGTGGTACCGGGTGACCTCTGATGGCATGCTGTGGAAGAAGTTGATTGAGAGGATGGTCCAAACAGATTCATTGTGGAGAGGGTTGGCAGAGCGAAGAGGATGGTGAGAGTATCGTACATGCATATTTTTTTTATTTATTAAGAGAAACAGATGCCAATGATTTAACTTCAACACACAGTTGAAGAGTCCCCAGTATGACTGTTCATTCTATCTGAAAATTAGAGGATGTCTAATAAATTCTGACATGCATTTCTCACTTTCTTTTACTGTTCTTTGGAATGGTAATCCCCCCCCAAAAAAAATCCAAAAGGTTTTTAAGAGGATTTATGCACTGAGATCTCTGTTTGAGATCTCTAAGAAGCAGCATACCTGATCTTTCAATTAGTTACTATTCAAGCTTACCTCACCTCACTGGACAGCTGTCTACTGGTGGTGAGGCAGAGTTTAAATAGTGCTATTAAGAACTCAGCATGATTGTTTTAAATTTGCTGTCTCTCTTTCTTCTCACCTGAAGTAGCTTAATCAGAGAAGCAGCATCTCAGTACTGAAAACATGCAGACAGCAAGTGGTGGCTTCACCTCCCTGATTTCTTAGGGATTGTCGGCTGCAGTACCACCTTATATTTGGACAGCAGTGTCGCAGGCATAGGATGCGTTAATCGACAACATTTTGGGAAGAGGCAGGGACTCTTGACACCTTACAATATGATTGCCTAGTAGACATGAGTGCTTTGTTTTCATATCCAGAGGATATGAATATGAAGTACGGCACCACAGATGCCATGGCGCTCCATTCTCGCCCCCTAGAACAAGCCCAGTCCACTCACTGGACTCACATGGTGCACGCATTTGTCAGCATCATCATCACAACAATTGCAGAAATAGTCTGGCTGGTGCTTCCCCACCTCTCCCCACTGCTGACTGCTCAGGTGTGGGGAGAGGCGGGAAAGCGCTGGCTACTTCCGCGATTGGCACATGATGATGCTGACAGACATGCCCTTTGTGCAAGCACAGTTAGTGGACGGGGATGGTTCTGGGGGGCAGGAATGGACTGGCATGGTGCCTGGTGTGGTGCCATGCTTCATATTTGTATCCCCTGGATACGAATACAAAGCACCCATGTCTATTGCCTACCATTGTATCACAACACCTTACATGTTACTGAGTCAAGAGAGATGAATTAACTGTGTCCCACTCCCACTGTTTCTTGGTTTGGAGTTGGGAAATGCATCTGCTCTTCTGCTCCAGTCCAGGAGGGTAGAAGGAAGCCTCTTCACAAACAACCGAGTTAACAGACCTTGCTTCCTAATCAAGGAGAGATGCCTAGTTTGAGAAGTCCACTCAGTTATTATGTGTTTTAGAAAAACATACATGCTACTGGCAGCTGATAAACTCTTTAAACTAACCTTCTATACCTCTTGGCCTTTACCGCAAAGACAAATTCATATTTCCATGGTCTTATTTTAAGTATTTCACCTATGCTGTCTCTCAACAGAGTCCATGTTTTGCATCTCAGAATGCTGTGTAACTGATTTAAATGTGAGCATTTAGTCTTAATATGAGGAGCAGGAAAGAGGCTTGAATGTGCATTCTTGGAAATAATGCTTCAGCATTATCTTTTAGCCTCAGATTTGTTTCTTAATTAAATTAATTGGCTGTCCTCAAAATGGCCTCTATTTCAGTCAATACTGCTTAGGAAGATAGAGCACAAAGGAGTGCACCCCTGGATGTTCACAATCTATTTCACATTACAGTTCTCACATTACGTTGTGGAAGGCAGTGCTCCAAATAAGGTAGAGTAAGTGTAAGTACTTCCTGGTTTGTGAGTTGTGTGAGGTGCAGTATTTTTCCTGCCCATTGGTTTATTTATTTACCTGTTTATATTAGGTCTCCTACTGTTCTCCCCAAAAGGGAACTAAGTTGGTTTACAGATGTGTAACAGGGTATATATCTAGTGGATGTTAAAAATTCATTAGTACTTTAGAAAGCAGGTAGTTTTCTAGAAGTTAAAAGCAGGTTTCCTTAATCTTATGCATAGATAGGTACCCATGTTTTTCCCAGCAGATTTTTGCAATTAGAAATCTGTTTAGTCTTTAGTCATAAAGCTTAGAACACAGACCACTGAGAATAAGCCTGCAGAAATTCAGATAGGTTAGTTAATCAACTGGAATAATCTTTCTATTATGTTGGACTCATCCAGATCTAGAGATGGTCTATTAACATTTTATTACATGCTTCCCTCTCTTGGGTAATCCCCCTAATACATAATTTTATATTCAAGTGGTTTCAGTAGTATGTTATCTGTGAGACAGTATGGTATGAATATTTCATAAACAAGACAAAAGTGACAGCTAAGGCATTCTAGCTGATATTAAATTCCTTAGGAAAAATAATAAGGCCACACACTTCCAAGTGCAAATTCTATTCAGTACTTTGACACTGTGGGAACATTATAATTTAGCCAGTTAAATACTTTTATGGCTATTAAAATATCTAAAATGCAGTTTTGTTCCTGATATTTATTTATTTATTTATTTATTTATTTATTTATTTATTTATTTATTTATTTATTTATTTATTTATTTATTTATTTATTTCACTTATATGCCGCCCACACTACCCAAAGGTCTCTGGGAGGCTTACAACAATTAAAATACAATTATAAAAAAAAATTAACAATTAAAATATATTTAAAATATATACTCTAAAAATTGCCATCAGGACCCACAGTTGATATTATTTCAGTTCAAAGCCTTCTGGAACAGGAAGGTTTTGACCTGGCACCAAAATGTCATCAGCATCAGCGCCAGACAAATCTCAGTTGGGATGGCAGTCCATATTCTGGGGGCAGCTGCCCAAAAGGCCCTTTGTCTACAAGCCATCCTTCTTACCTTCTTGAGGGATGGCTCTTTCAAAAGGGCCCCTTAGCTAGATCTTAACTGCTGGGTCGGTTCATATGGAAGGAGGCGGTCCTTCAGGTATCTAGGGCCCAAGCCGTTTAGGGCTTTATATGTCAAAACAAGCACTTTGAATTGGGCCCGGGCAGCAACTGGTAACCAACGTAATTTAATCAGAATCGGCTTAATATGTTCCCGAGCAGCCCCACAACTCACCAGCCGCACAGTTCGATTCTGGACTAGTTGCAGTTGCCGGACCATGTTCAAAGGCAGCCCCACGTAGAGCGCATTGCAGTAATCTATATGAAATGTTACCAGTGTGTGTGTAACTGTCATGAGACTCAGCTCATCCAGGTAGTGCCATAGCTGGTATCATTTCCACAGCTAAAGGAAGGCGTCCCTGGCCACCAAGTCCACCTGGGCTTCCAGAGTTAAACTGGGGTCCAGGAGCACCCCCAGGCTGCGGACCCAGGCCCTTAGGGGGAATGTAACCCCATGCAGGGCAGGGAAATGGCCCTCCAGCCTGTCCGGCAAAACCCCCACTAACAGCACTTCCGTCTTGTCTGGATTGAGTTTCAATTTATTACCCCTCCTTCAGTCCATTATCAGGTCCAGACCCGAGTTCAGCACAGAAACCGCCTCACCTGGATTGGTGGAAAACGAGAGGTAGAGCTGAGTATTGTCAGCATATTGCTGACTCCTCAGCCCAACCCTCCTGATGACCTCTCCCAGCAGTTCCATGTAGATGTTAAACAGCATGGGGGACAGTCTCGAGCCCTGAGGAACTCCATGACATAAACACCAAGGGACAGAGCAACTGCCCCCCAGCACCCCCCTCTGGACATGGTCAGCCAGGAAGGAGCGGAACTACCGTAAAGCGGTGCCCCCAGCTCCCACCCCAGCCAGCCTAACCAGAAGGACACCATGGTCGATGGTGTCCAAAGCCGCTGAGAGGTCCAGGAGTATCAATAGGGTCACACTTCCTCTGTCTCTCTCCTGGCAAAGGTCATTGTACAGGGTGACCAAGGCAGTCTCTGTACCAAAATCCAGCCTGAAACCTGATTGAAACGGGTCCAGAAAATCCATTCCATCCAGCAGCGCCTGGAGTTGCCCAGCCACAACCCGCTCCAATACTTTGCCCAAATAAGGGAGATTCGCCACTGGTCAGTAGTTAACCACCAGCCTTGGGTCCACGTTAGGCTTTTTTAGGAGTGGCCAAATAACCGCCTCTTTAAAGGTGGTAGGGACCACTCCCTCTCTCAAAGGGGTGCTCACGGCCTCCTGGACCCAGGTGTGAACCCCCCCTGGCAGATCTTCCAATTAACCAAGATGGGCAAGGGTCGAGCTGAGTGGTGGTAGAATGGACAGATCCAAGCACCCTGTCCACATCCTCAGGTCTCAACAGTTGAAGCTCATGAATTAATACTTGATCTAAGCACGGCACACTGGACACATCCTCTGATTCTGCAGTGACGGTGGAGTCCAACCCATTGTGAATCTGAGTGATTTTCCCCTCAAAATGATTGGCAAATTCATCATAGCAAGCTGATGAGCAATCCGGGACCTCCACCGGATTTCCCGGTTGAAGAAGATCCCGGATCACCCAAAACAGCTCTGCTGGACGACATTCTGAGGAACCAATACAGCTGGAGAAATATTGCCATTTCGCCAGCAGTATTGCCACGAAATAGGCCCAATAATGGGCTCTAAGTCGTGTTCAATCGGACTCCCCGCGGGATTTCCTCCACCTGCACTTCAGCCAACTCCCTTTCTCTTCATTGCATGCAGTTCAGAAGTATACCAGGGAGCTGTCTGGGCTCTGCATGCAGAGAGAGGGCGCTTAGGCACAATTGTGTCAACTGCCCGTGTCGTCTCCCTATTCCATAGGGTGACCTGAGCTTCGACAGGAGCGCCGACCATATCAGATGGATAATCCCCCAGAGCATTCAGGAAACCATCCAGATCCATTAGTCTCCTAGGGTGGATCATCTTAATAGATCCCCACCCTTGCAGAGGGGAGAAGCTAATAGACCAAACTTGACCAGGAAGTGGTCTGGCCATGACAATGGAGTCACAACCAGCCCCTCCACATCCAAACCACCATCTTCCAGTCGTGCTGAGAAAACCAGGTCCAAAGTACGGCCCTTCTCATGTGTCGGGCTGATGACACATTGAGACAGCCCCATGGTTGTCATGGCGGTCATGAAGTCCTGAGCCGCCCCAGTCAAGGCAGCCTCGGCATGGATGTTGTGGTCCCCCAGCACCAACAGCCTGGGAGTCCTCAACACCAGGCCCGAGACTACCTCTGTCAGCTCAGGCAAGGAGACTTTTGATACACAGCAGGGTGGGCAGTACACCAACAGAATCCCCAATCTGTCCCATAAGCCCAACACACAATACAGGGCCTCAAGACCTCATCCCAAAAGGATAGGAAGCCTGGTCAAAGAGATAGAACTCCTGTAGACTATAGCAATTCCCCCTCCTCGACCTTCCAAGCGACATTGGTGCTGGACTGAGTATCCCGGCGGACACAGCTGGGAGAGGGGAACACCATCAATAATACTGATTATTATACATACCTGGTCTTAGACAAAGGCAAGAAGTGATTATATTGATTACTAGAACTTCTCAGACTACCTTCCTCTCTCACTCATATTACCATTAAGAGCAAAGAAGACATAGTGACCCATTTTTCTAAATCAAGTGCTCAGTAAACAATAATCTGTGGTCAAGATTAAGCTATTTTCCTACCATGGAGAACTTGATGGATCATAGATAACACATAACACACTGACAGAATTTAAAGTAATTGGAATGTGTTGCTTCTACCACCTTCAAAATATTAATAGAATTTTCTTTCCTAGAGTTTTCTTCCCAAGTGTAGAGAAATGACACTTCGTAAGGTTTTAGAGAGTGGCTTATAAGTTACTTGCTTGGATAACAGTTCATTATCTGATCTATGATTCTCATTAGGGACAAAAATGAGTTCAGTAACAGGAGTACCTCTGTCACTAAGTTAGATTACTTGTTTACGAGATGTTTTTGAGCTACATGGGACAATTTGAGAACTCAGATTGTCAGAACTCAGTCTTTTTTCCACAAATGTATGCTTAAATTTTTTTAAACCAAATATTTTCCTTTGTGTCTTTGTTCACTACTTTTAGTGATGAATCAGTGGATCCAACAAGACTGATCCATTATGCTTACAAAGAAATAATGGAATAACATAATAGCTTACAGTGTCCTCTTCTGTTTCCCTGCACCAAAAGAGACAGTAAATTAAATAATAGGCTATCAAATGCCTATGATGTTAAGACATTGTATTTCAAAGTAATGACTCATAAATAAGCTGCTGTTGAATCACTTAGTTATCTATTTAGCCGAATGTTTTCTGCACCAATATATTTTCTAGAATTCTAAGATAATATCAACATTTATACTTTAGAAGTATCTAATCTTTGCAGTAATAAAAAACATGTGATTCTGTTGCCAACATCCTGTTTCTTAGCATAGTAAATCGCATTAGAGTAGACCCTGCAAATTATTTGAAATTTAGCAAGTCAACCCTATGTAAGCTCCATAGCTCTAAATGGGTCTATTTTAGCTCTGATTTACTATGGTAAAGTAAGACACAGTGGGCTCATTTCAATCAATAGAACGTACAGAGTATTCGACTGAATAAATCCCCATGGATTCATCGGGCCTACTCTAGTGTAATTTACTATTCTAAACAACATGATTTGGGCCAATATAATGAGATCTAAAAAAACTAAAAGTAAAGTTTCTAATGAATTGTAAAAATAAATAAGAAGTCCTTGGTTTTTATTCTGGAGTAATCAGATAAGGTTCAGATCATCATATGGTTGCTGAACCATCATCAACCTCACATACAAAGGAACATGTCAGTACGGCTTCAAAGTTTATTACAAGGGAAGGATCTGTAGGGGGAAAGTATTAGTGAAATGCAACAATTAAAAAGAGAACAGAATGCTGGCCTAGGCTAAGCACTGTGCCTGAGATGCCAGGATTACATTCTAAGGTATTTATGCTCATCTCTACTTCATGAGAAGTGCTGCCAAATAAATGAGTGGTTAGTATGCCTTTGGTGGGTTTTGTAGCATCTGCACAATGTTTGGTGGCTCCTTAACTTTTAGATGAGGAATTTAAAATTTTAACACAATTGACTGCCATTCACAGCATTTTCCCCCAACACATACACACTTCTAATTTTCTAAAAATCTGAAAGGTATGTGCTTTCCATAACCAAGTTGTGTTGAAGAAGAAGCTGATGCAATTTATTAGAAGCTAGGAAGACAGTACCAATAACATGCATTTGTTCATACTGTGCTTTGCTTAATTATTTTTGTCTTTGATTTGGTACAGTCACATTGTGGAGAACTTGGCAGACCTGAGATATTCTCCTACTGTCATTTTCATTTCAGGACACCCTGTCTATTGGTCATCACTTGCAACTTTGAAGGCTTCACTTCCCCATTTGAAAAAAAATAACAAAGGACTCTAGATTTCCTTAGCCACTTACTAGTCTATAAATATGCCATATATCTAAAGGCAATAGCATTGCCAAAGGAGACATTTCTTATAAATCTAGTCTAATTAGCCTTTGCTTTTAAATAGGGAATCAGAGCGCTACAAGTCTTTTACAAATCCTTGAACAGAATAGCTGGGGCCAGACAGCTTAATGAGTAATGCTACCTTTTTTTGTTTCTTTCTTTCTCGCTTGCTGGCTTTCTTGCTTTCTTTCTTTCTTTTAGGGGACAATATCTTTTTAAAAACAAGCCTCCTGATGGGATAGCCCCACCCAACTCCTTCTACAGAGCACTTTATCCCAAAATTATACAGGATATAGAGGTAAGAGCAAGAAAATGTTGTATAGGAGTAGGAGATGGGTGATTATGGGAGAAATCCATCACTTGAGCTTTCTAGGGTTGTTTCATTTCTTTTACACATACCACCCAGTTGTGGTTTCCTACTATTTGTACACAAAAATAAAAGAGAAACATCCTTGCATATGAAAGTGCAGATTCATGTTTTTTCTGGATATTACATCCCTGTTAGAAATAATTATCTTGTATACCAGGTTGCTTCATAGTATATCTTGCTGCTATGCCTTCATAGAAAGGGAAAGGCACTTTGGAGATGTGAACTGTTCTGTCTAGAAGTTTGGATGAAAAGAAGAAATAAGTAATCTGGTACAATCTTGTGTTCACAGTTAAAATCTCATTATGCTATACATCAAAAACTTCCTTTGTTCATGCACAGGATGAATTAAATACATCAACTTTTCCATATAAATATTATTCCATAGTATCTCAGTTGATTTTCTGATGTCAAATAACTATTTGAGCTTCTTCTTGTGTAGTTAGGACCAAATAAAAGCAAATGACTTTTTGACAGTAGGCACTGTTCAACTAATTGTGGAGATATTGGGAAGTTATTCTTGAAGAAGTGGGGAGGACTAGTTCCTGGTGAAGTAGTGGTATGTGTGGATGAAACAGTTGTGGAGAAAGAGGAAGATGTTCAGTAAGGTACAGCCAGGACTGGCAATCAGCAAAAGAGGAATGAGTGTGTAGAATAGAGTAGAGAATGAGTGTGTAGAATAGAGTAGAAAGGGATCAGGAAGCATTCTACCTTGTCCTCAATCAAGAGAGGACAAGAAGGTTTGGAAGAAGTCACACCTCCCCTGACAGTTGCCCATTTTCTAGACCAAAACTGCCTCCCATTGTTGATTAACCATATTCTAGATAGCTGGCACTTTTGCTTTCTTCATGATGACAGGAATGTATTGAGCAAAACTTGAAATATAAGGGAAACAGGGAGGGAACAGGCTTCCCTTCTTCCTCCTAGCACACTCTAGGACTTTCTGATGAAAAATGGTTTCTGCACTAGTGCTGCTTCTGTTATCTCAGGAGTCTAGCAGACTTGATAGTTGGAAAATTTCCATAATGTTTGTTTCATACTTTAAATTTAAATTTGTTTTTATCTTTCCCCTAGACAATAGAATCAAACTGGCGATGTGGAAGGCACAGCTTACAGCGAATCCACTGCAGAAGCGAAACGAGCAAAGGGGTTTATTGTTTACAATATGATGATCAGAAGATAGTGTGTGGCCTCCGAGACAACACTATAAAGGTGAGAGTCCCTCAGTGGGTAACAAATGGAACACAAAATCCAGCTCCAAAAAGAATGCAGTTACAGCTTTAGAAGGGGCACAATAAAGAGAGAAACTGAGACAGATGAGGTTAATCCTTCTCTCCCCTTTTTCCCTGCTCCCTCCCCCATCAAGTTTGACTTTGAAATGCACTGGTTTTCTCCCACTCTTCTGTACAAGGAAGATAAATCTATCTTATCTGCTCCATTTTCTTGTGCTCTGTTCATTGCTAGTTGTGTTATTGGTCCTGCAGTAATTAAAGTCTTCTGTTCCCTAATGAGAAGGGTAAACACTATCTTCATATTAAAAACAGAGATATTAAGGATAGTTTATATTGCTCCAAGTGTCTGTGGAATATAAAGTGCATTGTGTGCCACTTAAAGAAGTACTGCTTAGTAAATAAATGCTGTGTTGCAGAAAACAAAAGAGCCAGTCTAGCAATACAGTTCATTTACATTGTGACAATGTCCAAATGTCTGCCCCTTTGGCTTCCTAGATCTGGGACAAGAATACATTAGAGTGCAAGAGGATTCTGACTGGACATACAGGGTCAGTGCTTTGCCTCCAGTATGATGAGCGGGTGATCATCACTGGATCATCGGATTCCACAGTGAGGTAATTATTTTATTTATTTATCCATTTGTTAATTGAAAATACTTACCTCACTATTTTAACAAATAATGGCTGAAATCCAATAGTAAGTTGCAACTAGACTAGGTCTATTGAATCAATGGAAGTTACAGAGGACTCACCACATCCTCACTGATTCAGTGGGTCTACTCTACTGCAACTGACTACAATAAGCAATAAGGTATCAGCCAAAGCCTCCAGGGCAGCCTGCACATGATTAAAACAACTAGTAACAGATAAGTACAGTAGAACATCCACAAGCCAAACTCTGCCCCTTCTTAGAAGACTACAGCCCCAATGGTACTGTAGAGTACCCCAGATAGTCATTCTTGTGGTTTTCTTCCCATCCCCCTGAGAGTCACTGTAAACACCAGCCCTGACCTCACCTGCCTCCGTTCAGGAACAGGCTACTTATGAGTTTCTTGAAACCAACCCAGCTGAGGAAGTCCAGTTTATGCATTCCTATTCAAATACCAAGAGTCTTCACAGGCATCAAGACCTAGATTATAGACAAGTTAAAAAGATCATCATTATTTTACTGAAACCAAGCAGGCTCAGGTAATCGATTGCTTTCCCAATACTGCTCCCACCAATGACACTGATGTGTATTCAAGAGACAGACCAGTTTCAAGGCTGTTCTTGAGATTGTCATTGGCAGCAGTCTTGCTCCAGATCACTTGAACAGTGATATCCAAAATGGCAATGTCCCGACTCAGGAGGACAATGGAACAGTCTGAGACCCAGAGCCGACTGAAGAACCTGGTCATTCCTTACATGGTGAGCGCATCTGAAAAGTTTGAAAGGATTTTTGGTAAACACCACATACCCATGCACTTCAAATCCACAAACACACTAAAGCAGAGACTCGTCCACCCAAAAGACCGGATACCAAAACACAACAAGAACAATATAGTATATGCAGTCCGGTGCAAGAGGAATGTTTGGAGCTCCATATTGGAGAAACCAAACAGCCACTAAACAGGAGAATGGCCCAGCACAAGAGGGGCAACGGCTCAGGAACACAATCAGCAGTGTTCCTTTGTTTGAAGGACAAAGGACACTCATTTGATGACCAAGATGTACTTATTTTGAACCGAGAAGATACGTGGTTCGAAAAGGGTCAGGGAGGCCATACATGTGCATATAGAAAATCCCTCACTCAACAGGGTAAAGGCCTTGGATACAATCTGTCTCCTACGTTCTAGGTGGGCAGCATATAAATCTATTCCATTAAATAAATAAATAATATTTATGTCCTTTCATCCATCCCCAGAAAGATTAGTTATTACATTAAATAAATAAATAATATTTATGTTGTCCTTTCATCCATCCCCGGAAAGATTAGGACCACACAAACCAGAAAGACCATTGTTAACGACCCATGACAGTGGGTGGAGAAGGACTGCAGAAGTGGGATTATCCCTCACCCCTAGTCCTTTGTCCTTCTAAGAAGCCTATGGAGGACATATCAGGGATCTCCTACCAATTCTCCTCAGACTGAAGAAGCTACTTGGATGAGTTGTGAAACATTTCAACCTAACAAGAAAGAAGTCCAGTTGCTAGGACTCAACTTCCAGATAACCACACCTGGATAACCGAGAATCTTCACAGATATATCACTTAAACAGATTCTGTTATCAATATCTGTTACATTCCCAATCTCCCTCAAGGTCAAAGCATCACTATCTTTGGTTAACCACACCAGTGTCCACCTACTTTGGAGTGTTGATTGCATCTGGACATCATTATTTCCCATGTGGCACCGTTCCGGTATGACTTGCATGTATGTAGCCACCTCCGCTGGGTCCATACTCCTTCTTACCCTTGAAAGCCAGATTCCTGCATTTCTTATTAATCGCAACTTCCACAGTAGGCAGTATTGTTTATTTTTTTAAAAAGACAGAAATGTATTTCAGAAACGAAGAAAGACAATGGGTCACTTAGGATTCTTCAATGATGAAAAAATACAGCATTATGTTGCTAACCAAAAATTAATTTGAAAAAGAGAAAGGAAGAGATATGTGATACTGAAACATGGCACTCCATACTACCTTCTTTGTGTGCATAAAAACCCAGCCTTAATGCCCATCCCCAAGCAAGGAGAAGCAGGCTGTTTCCCAACTGACTGAAAGCTGTTGCAAAAAAAAAAAAGGCAGGAGGCAAGGAGCAAGAAGGGGAGGAGCACATTGTGACCAAACAGAGCAAAATGGAGTGATCTAACACCAGCATGTGGTTAACTAGATTTCACATATAGGGCTGTAAGTGCTATTTCCATAAAAATGGAACTAGCGACCTAATCAAGCCCCACATTCCAAAGCAGGACAGACTAGATCACTTTGTCTGTACACAAAGACTATTTAAGTTGGTAGCACCCATCCTCAACATACACTGTAAAATCCCTCCAGTTCCACTTCTAGCAATATGATGTGCCAGGAAGCAATGCAGTCTCAGTTATCCACCATCATAAGACACTATTATCTGGGCATGAGAGCAAGACAAAATAGTCTTTAGCCATATCCACAGCTAAGTGGTAACAGCATAACCAACCTTCTCAGCTGTTCAGTCACACATATGTGTGAATTGCAGACCACAAAGAATTACCTGTAACGGTGGTTCTTCAAGTGGCCATCTGTAAGCTCATACGCTCACTAGCATAGTCTCCACTTGCTCTTGTCTCTACAGTGTTCTGCTGCTTGTTTGGCAGACACTGTAGTGAGGAGAAAATAGGAGCCCCAATAGGTGTGCTTGTTGGTGTTGGAGCAAGGCTCCCACCAAAATTCTATACCTAGCTCTAGAAGGTTCCCAATGAAATGTATTTGTGTGTATGTTCACAGGTGACCACTGAAAGAACCACAGTTACAGTAAGCAACCTGTTCTTCTAATCTCAAAGAGTTGCTATAAACAAAGAATGATTTTTTAAAAATTGAAATGCTTTTTTAAATACAAAAAATATTATCTATATCACTGCTGTCAAACTAAGCTTTAAAGGATTGGTTTGTTTCATACATCATTCAAAAGCATTTTAACAGTTTATGTACTAACAATATTAATTTTATTCCTTGTACATTTCACCAGATATTGGAGGTATTCTTTTATCATTTCATCATGTCTTTCTTCTGTCTCCTTTCTTTTGTTATGAATTCCAGGGTATGGGATGTAAATACGGGTGAGATGCTAAACACACTGATCCATCATTGTGAAGCAGTACTTCACCTGCGGTTCAATAATGGCATGATGGTGACATGCTCCAAAGATCGTTCCATTGCTGTGTGGGACATGGCCTCCCCAACAGACATTACCCTACGAAGGGTTTTGGTTGGCCACAGGGCAGCTGTCAATGTTGTTGACTTTGATGACAAGTACATTGTGTCAGCGTCAGGTGATAGAACTATAAAGGTATAAACCTTAACTTTGTTATCACTTTAGACAATTACATCTTCATTATTGTATTTCTAACTTTTATACCTAAAGCAGCATAAATATTCCTCCCTTCCTCCTTTTATCCTCACAACCTGTATGTAAGATAGGTTGTGAAAGAATGACAGGGCCATCATCAACCAGTGAGCTTAATGGCCAAGTGGAATTTGATCTGTGGTCTCCCCAGTCCCAAACCAATATTCAAGACACCGTTAACTCTCATTAAGTATATATAGCTTTTTCATACAAATTTATGTGTGTTACTTCCAGAATAATCAATTTCCTTTGGTTTTCCTTTTGTTCAGGTGTGGAACACAAGTACCTGTGAGTTTGTGCGCACCTTAAATGGCCACAAACGAGGCATTGCATGTCTGCAGTACAGAGACAGACTTGTAGTCAGTGGTTCATCAGATAATACCATCAGGTGAGAAGCACAGCACATGCCTGGATCACGCAGCAAGCAACATGGTCCTTTTGGACCCAAGTGTATATGGTACACAAATGTGTGGAATTGGTGTCCAAATAGCCATTTGTTACATAAGCCACATGGTTTGTATGTCTGCATATGTGTGTGTATTTAAACCTTTCCATGTTCATCATGTCCATACTTCAGCTTCTCTGGTCTACTCTCCTGTTACTCAAAAGAGGGAAAGAGTATTGGGCTACTGTTAAATGTATTGGGTGAAATTGTGATACACAGTGCTTTCCAACCATTTAATTAAACTAAGATTGGCTGAAATCCAGCAGTAACTCTCAAATAGAATAAGCCCAATGAATCAGTGGGAATTTCATACCTTTTATGAATACAGTGCTCCTACCCTACTTGTGACTTACTACTGGAATTCAACCACTGTAATGCAGATAGAATTAAGACTCCTGGAAGAAATATCAACAACCTCCGATATGCAGATTATACCACGCTGATGGCAGAAAGTGAGGAGGAATTAAAGAAACTTGTAATGAGGGTGAAAGAGGAGAGTGCAAAAAATGGTCTGAAGCTCAACATCAAAAAAACTAAGATCATGGCTACTGATCACCTCCTGGCAAATAGAAGGGGAAGATATGGAGGCAGTGACGGATTTTACTCTCTTGGGCTCCATGATCACTGCAGAGCAGGACAGCAGCTCCGAAATTAAAAGATGCCTGCTTCTTGGGAGGAATGTGATGACAAACCTAGACAGCATCTTAAAAAGCAGAGACATCACCTTGCCACCACAAGTCCGAATAGTCAAAGCTATGGTTTTTCCTGTAGTGATGTATGGAAGAGAGAGCTGGACCATAAAGAAAGCTGACCGCTGAAGAATTGATGCTTTTGAATTGTGGTGCTGCAGGAAATGCTTGAGAGTCCTCTGGACTGCAAGGAGAACAAACCTATCCAAGTTGAAGGAAATCAACTCTGAGTGATCACTGGACGGACAGATCCTGAAGCTGAGGCTCCGATACTTTGGCCATCTCATGAGAAGAGAAGACTCTCTGGGAAAGACCCTGATGTTGGGAAAATGTGAAGGCAAGAGGAGAAGGGGACAACAGAGGACGAGATGGTTGGACAGTGTCATCGAAGTAACCACCATGAATTTGACCCAACTCCAGGAGTCAGTGGAAGACAGGAGGGCCTGGTGTGCTCTGGTCCATGGGGTCACGAAGACTGGACACGACTAAATGACTAAACAACAACAATGTAGATAGAGGACACTGCTAAACATTGTTTTGCATTTTAAAAGGTTGTATGAAAAAAACCAAGTATATCAGGGAGAGGCTCATCCTAGAACTGAATTGCAAGCCTAATGCATGAAGTTAGGGATGATGACACAGGACCATGACACAGTGGGCAGAAGGTTATGTAAAACATGGGATTTGAATGTCCTTAGGAGAGGAAGTCTGACAAAAGTAATTGGAAGCCGTGGCTTCCGAAGACCATCCTTATGATTGATAAGCAGTCTTCATGGTTTTAAAAGGAACTCTATGATGGTGACCTACCTCTAGTCCTACAAATTGCTCTCCTGTCCAGTCTTCTTGTTAGTGTAAACATTGTTTTTGCTTAAAAGCTATATTATGTTCTTTCCTTCAAGAAGTATAGTGTCCAAACATTATACCCTTCGGTTAAAACCTTCTTCTGGTCAGCTGCAGCAGCCTTCATGAAAATGTCTTGATATCCTAGTTTCAATCATTGGTTAAGATTGATTTAAGAAACTAACAGCAAAACATGGTAAACAGTTAGTGAATCTGCAAAATTGGTAAAGGATTTCTTTCAAGTGGATCAACAGCAGTCACTCCAGTTAATAGTACTCTTTCCTCTTTTGTGTACAATTCTCTGGATTCAAGGTCAAATACACCAAACCACTGACTGCTCAAATAAATATATGGCAACAGAAAAACAAATCCTTTCATTAAGGAACTTTAGAGGCTAATTAACTAGTGTAGCTTTTAGAGAAAGCTAGTTACTGAAGGTAATTGCAGTAACATGAGTAATGAAAACAAACAGATCAGAGAGCTATAGCAGACAATTTAAATGAGAGACATGGGGAATCTGAATAGGAAAGTTAAAGACATTAACCAATTATCACCTTCACTCACCAGTTGCATTCTGTTTAATGCCATTCTATTTAATGCCTTGTAAAGATCAACAGATTCGTAAATAGTGACATCCTTTTTATTGAGAAGGGTTGTGATGGCTTCATTGTATGAGTCAACAAAAGACAGAGAAGATCAACCACTAGGAATTTAGTTAATGCCACAAACTTTCAGCCAGGAAGGGAGTCTCTCTGTCATTTCAGTCAAAAGCAAAACAAATGTGCAAGACAGACCTATAGTCTTAACATTGGGAAGCACCGATCTCAACAACAATCAAAGGAGGAAACAGTTAAATATTGCAGAGCTTGGAAAAGCAACTATAAATGTCAATATGGTAATAAATTCCAAGAGGAATACAATTACTTTTATGCTTACATAGAAAAAAAATCTTGTGCTGGAATTTTGCAGCAGTTAGCAGTGTATCTCTGCAGAATCCAGGTTGGGTGCATAGTTGGCCTCCATGTTTCCTAGATTTGGTATTCAAAACTTGAAGTGAACGTTTCTGTCATCCTTCTCTTCTATTTCAAATGTAGATTGAAAACTCTACATTTAAAGGCTGCATGCTGACTTCACTATTCTGTAGAGCCATTGATAACTTAGTATTACAAAGATTGAAAATTTCAGAATCTACTAAAGTGGAGTGAACTGGAATCTTCTAAAATTCTGCATATTTGGCCAAGTGTGAAAAGTATCTAGAAGATATGGTTCTTGATTTTGTAATTTTATAATGAGAAACTTATAATGAACAAGGCACAGGGCTATTCGTAAGTTATTATGAAGTCATTGGCATCTAAAAAATATTGATGCAGCTTAGGTTGGCTTCACAAATTACCCTTCTAGTGTCACTTTTGATGGAAGTAGTTTGTTCAGTGATACTGTTACAATTTTCCTGCACCATATAAGCCAGTGGTCCCAAACCTTTTCAGAACTGCAGACCGTTGGGGGGGGTGGGATCCTTGTGTGTAGGGAGCGCAGGAGCCCTCCCATGCTTGTGGGGTGGGCGTGGCATGTTCGCAGATGGGCGTGGTGCACTCACAGGTGAGTGGGGTGCCCACCCACGAGCACACCACACCTGTCGTGCATGTGGCAGGGGATCTGTCTCTGCAGCCCGGTCCTGCGAAGCCCATGGAGTGTCACTGGGCCATGGACTGGGGTTTGGGGACCCCTGATATCAGCAACTCTTACCCAAACACTTTCCAGCATGGAAAAGTGAGGATATAGTGCACCTTACTGGCCACTGCCTCATCAGTGTAATATAAAAGTACCTTAATAGGTTGAGAAACAGCATTCTCTGTTTTTTACAAACATTGCTATCTATGGGCCAAAGGAACTGGTGCATGTGTTAAAGAGTTATTTTGTTACTAAATACATATGGGGCAGCCATATTTAAAATGCAGCATGGATCAAGGGGTTCAGGGAAAGTAAATCTACCACCTGCCTAGGTTTCTCTCTCCCATCCCTTTGACCATTTAATTCCACTTGATTTTCTTTTGGTGGGGCTCCAAGCCTACAAGTAAATGCCTCTGGAAGAAATGTGGTTTGGGCATACGCAACGTCAAGGACAAGCATTAATGGATGGGAGTGCTCGGTGCACCTGCCCACTATGCTGCATGTCCAATTGCCACTACTTCTGTATTTGATAAGAATTTAGCACAATTCTCTAAATTACACTGGGGTAACTTTAACATTACCCCTTGGCTAAGAAAGAACATTTAAGTACCCTAGTCAAAAATATGGATAGCAAACTATCTTAGTACTGAAAATAAGCTTAATAATGTAGTATTTATTTTAAACATAAAATTGATTTTTAAATTTGTTTTAAAGTGTAAACAGAGATTGTTCAAGGCGGTGTGCAATGCGTAGAACCAATACTAATTCAATAAGTAAGAAGAAACATGTATAATAACTAGATGGGAATGCAGCAACATAGAACAAAACCAGTGAGCATTAAAAATGTGTAAAGTTAAAGGCCTGAGAGAAGAAGAACATGCTTTTGTCCAGTACTGAAAACTGTATCATAATGTAACCTTGGAGCAGCCTCTGTGGTGAGTGGGTTCCAAAAATTCAGTGTTACCATAGTGGGGTTTTTGTTGTTGTTGTTGTTTTGTTTTTGGTGGATAGGCTTTCCATGAATGGCAGGGTTGTCAAAGGAAAAAAATGTTTACATTTTGGCCTTTGAGGTTGCTAGATACTTTACTGAATTCCATTTTTATAAAGAGCCCCACACATATAGACATAAGGGCAAAGGTCTCTGCAGTAAACAGTCAAAAGGATGCTATATCACATCACCATGAGGGATGTTATATCATCTCACAATGTAGCACCTTTCCTTAAATGCATTGCAGATAAAATGACCTGTATTAGGAGAGCTTGCTGTCATTGGCTTTGTACAATAGTAACATTTATTTCAAGGAAAAAAAGGTGTCAAATACAGAAAAGCACCACCAGTCACTCACAGACCAGTAAATTGTAGTACATATTGCCTTTGCCCCTAGTTACCCCTGGTTATCTTCCAACCACAGAGCACATGAAGGCAAACCAAACTCCTCTTCACACGCTGTCACCAGTTGATCACTAAATCAACATACTTTTCTAAAGAAAGATGAAGGTCCATTCATCACTGTATTTTAAATAAAACAGGTTTATTGATTATGGATGTTCTGGTAATAATTCATATGTATCTTCAGGTTTATCAGTCATCAATAACAATCTTCTATTTGATCTTACAATTATTATACACTCTTCTGACTAATCACACCTCAGATCTCCCAAATATCACTCTCTCTCTCACTCCACTCTCATCTCACTCTCTGACTCTGACTGACTCTTCATTCTCAGGCTCCGCCTTGTTCTCTCTCTCTCTCTCAGCTCTGACTCTCAAAAACATTAGCCTACAACATGAATAATGCATGACTATTTAACATAATAAGGGTGAACGCCACAGTACACCTCTCCAGAAAAACACAAGAGCCCTGCTGGATCAGGCCAAGGGCCCATATAGTCCAGCTCCCTGTGTCTTCACAGTGGCCCCATCAGATGCCTCTGGGAACAAGGCAACCAAATACCTATATCCTGATACCCCTCCCCTGCATCTGGCATTTTGAGGTCCCTTCCTTTTAAACCTGGAGATTATACATCCCCATCAAGGCTTGTAACCTGCGATGGACTTTTCCTTCAGAAATCTGTCCAGTCCCCTTTTAAAGGCATCTAGGCCAGATGCCATCACCACATTCTGTGGCAAGGAGTTCCACAGACTAACAACATGCTGGGTAAAGAAATATTATTTTTCGTCTGTTCTCACTCTCCCAACACTCAATTTGAGTGGATGTCCCCTGGTTCTGGTATTGCATGAGAGGGGAAATAGCTTCCCTCTATCCACTTTCTCAGTCCCCTTTATAAAAAATGATCAGAAAGTTTAGAGAAATTCACACACCCAGCAGATACCCATATATTTTTCACCTTTTCCAACCCTTCATGAACAGAGTGAATATATATTTTATAAGAATGTTCAGCACAACCCCTGAATTAAAGTGATTGGTATTTCTCACTGATCTTCAACTTGGAAAGCAGAAATGACATAAAGATGATTCATCGTTCACAAAACCATGGAAGCCAGTTTTTCCAAGTTACACAGCAGTGTGCTTCATGGGTCATAAAATGTGTAACAACTGTCTTTTTATCCGTAGGTCATAAAGTGTATAATACCACCTGTTCCCCTGGGGCAACCTTGCAAACATCTTGCAGATTCCAACTACAAATCTTTGTTACTGACCAGCTTTTGTTTTTGTTGAGGAAAGGTTATGTTGGCAACATGTACATTTTGTTTTGTATTATGATTGATGGATATTAGATGCTAAGACACAATGAGCCTAGTCTGATTGGGGATTTATACAACAAGCATCTTCATCTGGGCTAGAATTGGTGCAACATATGTCTTGTTCTCTGTTCCAACCACAGTCAAGGCTGGTTTCTGCATAGCTGAAGCATCTAAACATTTTCCAGGTGGTCTCACGTAGATTGAGTTATGGTAACCAGTCAAGCCAGACATGGTTGATAGTGGCTGGTTTCCTCTAACAAGCTAACGTTACAGATGTTCCCTCTAAAACGGGTCGGGGGCATTTCCTACAACCACATGAATCTTCCCTCAGTAGCAAAATTAGCTTCTGACAAAGATGTAGTCTTGTCTGGAACAGGCAGCATCTCTTCATGTTCATGGGGATTCTTTGTTACCATTTTAGATGTACTTTCTTGCTCCCCCATATAACCCTAACAAGATTCAGGCAATGATTCAGGGATATTACAGTGACTCCTAGATTTGTTAGAAATGAAAAATGGTAGGGTTTGACATGAAAAACTGTAGTTTTCTGAATCAAATATGAAATACTTCGAGCTTAAATAAGCAAGTACAATTCATATTCTGTATTTCTAGTATAGGATTTTAAAACAAATACGTAACAATGATTGCTTATCTTGTATTTCCCCAGGTTATGGGACATTGAGTGTGGGGCATGCTTGAGGGTCTTGGAAGGCCACGAGGAGCTGGTGAGATGCATTCGTTTTGATAGCAAGAGGATAGTCAGTGGAGCCTATGATGGGTGAGGATTTACTTCTGAAGTATAAATGCCTAGTTTCATTTCTGTACACCCAAAGTGACGTCTATCCTGAACATCAGAAAACTACCAAACCTTTCCTGTGACAAATCCAACACTCTCTTTCTCCTACAATCCTCACTGTCTAGTGCAGACTGCAATGCTCTGAATAGCTTAGACTGCTAGGACCCTCTTCAGCTTCATAGAGCCTCCTGGCTGCGATCTGATAACCCTTTCTTTGGCATCTCTTCTTTGATTTTAGATCTTTTGGTTGGTTTTGTATGTCTTCTTGCTTATCTGGAGTTTTTGTGACCATGAAAGGCTCGCTACCAAAACTGCTTCTGAATACCTGATTCAGCTTTATTAGGGTTCCCTGGCCCAGAATCAGTTGTCATAGCAAGTGACTTAGTATCTTGCCATTCTGCTGTAAGTTGTCTTCCAAAATTATATATCACTAAAACCTGCTGCTGTCGAATGGTGCATCACAATTTCATATTAGGGACCAGTTAGTCATGTAGTTGCATTGCTGTAGACCAGTTCCAACTCTCAGACAGCATTCATTATACCAGTGGTCCCCAACCTTGGGCCTCCAGATGTTCTTGGACTACAACTCCCAGAAGCCTTCACCACCACCTCTGCTGGCCAGGATTTCTGGGAGCTGAAGTCCAAGAACATCTAGAGGCCCAAGGTTAGGGACCACTGCATTATACCACATCCACCCTCCCTTGAAAAAACTGGAGCTCTATCCGGGCATAATTAAACAAGCTTATTGTGGAGCATCTCTCCTGACCCACGTGGCTTTTCTGTTGTCACATTTTCAGTTCCCAGTGTGAAGAAGAGAGATTCCTGCTCATGTAGGCCTAGAAAGTCTAAAATTGTGTTCCATTGCATAGCCTAGCATAGCATTGCACTGTGTTGCATTTCTCCCTATTGGGGTCTCAAGTCAGCATACAGTTAACTAAAATCATACAGTGGTTGCTATTTAAAAACACTATGAAGAACACATTAAAAACAAATGTGTAAAAATGTTTTTAAAAATGGTTTAAAATAAGTAGACCTACATATGAGCAGGAACAGTTCCTGTTTAGACTGGCTACTGATAGTGTGAAAAATGGAACACCAAGGGAAGCAGGAGGCAGGCACTCCCTTCAAGCATGGTCACAAAATGTGTTCTACTAATGCTTGAATAGAGCTTGCATTTCATCTAGACAGTTAGAACTCTTCCTTCTAGAGCACCATCTAGAGCATCTTGATTTGCTATTGGATTGTGGTGAGCAAGGAGAAGAGAATTGTCTTTTGTAGATCATCTACCCCAAGATGAGCAAGAATGGATCACCAAGTTACAAAAGCTTCTCTCCCCCACCCTCATAAAATTTGTTCATCATTTAAATTTTGTTCAGTGGCTCATTTGTTTTGATTTCAACCAGTGCTGGGCTGAGGAACCGTTGAATGTCTAAATGTTTTGACTTCCAACTCCTCTCAGCCCATCTACCTTCTGATGGTTAGGAAAGGTTTGGCCAAAATATCTGGAGGGTCAGAAGTTTCCCATCTCTGAAAAAGTGTGTAGGTTTTCTCTTTAATGAATACTTGTTCTTTATTTTCTTTCTTGCTATCAGGAAGATTAAAGTGTGGGATCTGGTGGCTGCTTTGGATCCTCGTGCCCCTGCTGGAACCCTATGTCTGCGCACTCTTGTGGTAAGAGGGATCAGCCACTCAATTTGAGATGGGAGGGAGGGTTACGAGTATTCAGCTCCTACTGTATACTGAAATCTCATCTGATCTGGTGAATAATAGTCACAAAATAATGTGCCCCTCCAGGCTCACTGGAAGTTAGGTTTAAGGATGGAGTTCACAAAGGTTTAGAATGCAGTTTGGCTGTACTGCAAGAATCATTTTGTGAAGGACTTTTTAATAGTATTGTCCTATACAAATGAGAGAGAACATAATATTGACCAGCTTGGATTTCTTTAGCATTTATTAGCACATATTTTAAAAGACTCCGGAAAATGAGAACAAGCAAAACCAGAAATGATGGCATCGGGCAGTTGACAGTAACCTCTATACTGAAAAGAGAGTTTATCTATAGTTGAAAAGAGAATGTTTGGGCTTACGTTCTCCAGGCCCTACATATAAATTGTTATAAGACACAGACCTGTTTTTTTCTCAGTGCAGTGCAGGCTAACTCAACAGCTACTGTCTTATATCATAAAACATCGTTCTCATTTAGTCGTTTAGTCGTGTTCGACTCTTCGTGACCCCATGGACCAGAGCACGCCAGGCCCTCCTATCTTCTACTGCCTCCCGGAGTTGTGTCAAATTCATGTTGGTTGCTTCGCAGACACTGTCCAGCCATCTCATCCTCGGTTGTCCCCTTCTCCTCTTGCCATCACACTTTCCCAACATCAGGGTCTTTTCCAGGGAGTCTTTTCTTCTCATTAGATGGCCAAAGTACTGGAGCCTCGGCTTCAGGATCTGTCCTTCCAGTGAGCACTCAGGGTTGATTTCCTTTAGAATTGATAGGTTTGTTCTCCTTGCAGTCCAGGGGATTTTCAAGAGTCTCCTCCAGCACCACAATTCAAAGGCATCAGTTCTTTGGCGGTCTGCTTTCTTTATGGTCCAGCTCTCACTTCCATACATCACGACAGGAAAGACCATAGCTTTGACTATTCGGACTTTTGTTGGCAAGGTGATGTCTCTGCTTTTTAAGATGCTGTCAAGATTTGTCATCGCTTTCCTCCCAAGAAGCAGGCATCTTTTAATTTCGTGGCTGCTGTCTCCATCTGCAGTGATCATGGAGCCCAGGAAAATAAAATCTGTCACTGCCTCCATATCTTCCCCTTCTATTTCCCAGGAGGTGATGGGACCAGTGGCCATGATCTTAGTTTTTTTGATGTTGAGTTTCAGACCGTTTTTTGCACTCTCCTCTTTCACCCTCATTACAAGGTTCTTTAATTCCTCCTCACTTTCTGCCATCAGAGTGGTGTCATCTGCATATCAGAGGTTGTTGATATTTCTTCCGGCAATCTTAATTCCGGCTTGGGATTCCTCCAGTCCAGCCTTCCACATGATGTATTCTGCATATAAGTTGAATAAGCTGGGGGACAATATACAGCCTTGTCGTACTCCTTTCCCAATTTTGAACCAATCAGTTCCATGTCCAGTTCTAACTCTTGCTTCCTGTCCCATATATAGGTTTCTCAGTAGATAGATAAGGTGGCCAGGCACTCCCATTTCTTTAAGAACTTGCCATAGTTTGTTGTGGTCCACACAGTCAAAGGCTTTTGCATAATCAATGAAGCAGAAGTAGATATTTTTCTGGAACTCTCTGGCTTTTCTGGAACTCTCTGGCTTAAAACATAGTTTTCTTTAATCATAGAGAATGTGAAGTAAAAAAAAGTTTATCTTGTTTCTGATCCTACAGGGCGAAATATGGGAAGCAGTGTAGAATTCATTGAGCATTAATGAGATGCAAAGGTAGTCTGTGTCCATTGCCTCTGAGGGAATCTGTTCACACTTCAGCTGAGACTGGGCTATGAACCCTGCAGCTCATGGCTAACCTGCCAATGTAAACAAACCTAACGTTTTTACTGCCTCATTAAAGCTGTCTCATACCCTTCTCCAGAAAGGGTGGGCAGCAATATTTTAAGTTTGAGATGCTTGCCCAGCTGGTAAGATACCTTGTGTGCTGTTTCTGCTTCTCTTCTGTGACTGAAACTGAATCTGGGTGTGCAATGAACACAGCATATACTGTGTGGTTTGATGTTTAATTTTCAGTAGAGGAAAGATCTGTGTAACATATACTGGTTACAGATTAATAAGAAATAAATGCTTGGCTGGATCAGACCAAGGCTCTACCTAGTCCAGCATACTATTACAGCAGCAGCTAGCTGGGTGTCTATGGAGTGTTAAGCAATAGAGTACAGAGGCAATGCTAACCTTTACGTACCTTGTCTTTCATTTGTTATTTCTTGTAATCTGTGTGATCACCCTAATACAGTTTTCCTGTGCCTGTGCAGACATTCTCAGAATCTTGCAGAGTCCATAAAGCTGTTAGCTGCACCCTCATATATAGCTCATGCCCCTTAACCCAGTGATTACCTCTCAGTTCCATTCTGACTGCCACCAAAGCAGCACCTCAGTGGTCATCCAGAGCATATTCTAGGATAGAATCTGTACATCGTTCTACAATCTTACCTCTCTTTCAATATTCCTCTTCAGTTAGCCTCTTGTTTCTGTTAAATCTTTAAAAAATGTATATTTGTCATAAATTTTGTTCCCACTATTCATGGTCTCTACAGTCCCTTTGAAGAAGTGTGTCATTTGTACAAATAAAATCCATCTCACAAATGGAAACTCCAAATGTCTCTATTGCTTAGAGGAGAGACATCAAATGCAGGGAAGGGACATCATGTCAAATTTGTTAAAAAAAAAAAAAGTCACCACAGTTACCATAAGAAACAGACAGTCACGACTTAAGCGATGTCTTTGGCTAAGATCTCTTCAGGCAGTTGACATGATCTCAAAGCAGACTTTGACATCAGCAGTTATGATTTGTAAAACACTTTCTAAGGTACAGTAGTAGTCATAGAGTCTATTCAAATTGACTTGAATCTAAATGCCCAGGAAGAATCGGTTCCACAAGCATAAAAAAAACACAGTAATCACCATCGAAAGAACCTGTTTCAATACCATCTATTTTAAAACCATCACCATCAGTATCAAAGAAGAGGAACAGACCTCTCTGAGACTGACATCAGACAAAAAAGTCAAAAGAAAAAAAGAAAACTATCATTTGTAATAGTATAGCGTCCAACTCGTCATCTGCCTCACAAAACAAAGAGCAGGATGAACTTCCTCAGTGTCAGAGGAAGACAGAGCTCCATATCTGTCTCCTCGTGTCTCCCCACCTCTGACACAGACATCAGTGTGGATTGTCAGAGAGTGAGCCTGCATTTGAAAGATAATGGAAAGGAGAGTGGGATATTCAAAACAAGTTACCAGTGGGGTCTTGACTTGCGAACTTAATCCGTATTGGAAAGCGATTCACAAGTCAAAAAGTTCACAGGTCAAATCTGCATTTCCCATAGGAATGCATTGAAAACCATTTGATCCGTATCTGCTCTTTTTCATCCATAGAAACGAATGGGAAGCTGCTATTCCGCCTTCAACCACTAGAGGGGGATCTTTTGTTTCTTTTTTTCTTAGGTCAAGAAAGGTTCAGGGAAGGCAGGGAAAATACAGTCCAGGCAGTACAGTACCAGGCAGTCTGAAGACTGTCTCCCAATCCACTCTCTAAATACTGAGAGGAGTGAGGAAGCAGACAGGCACCCTTTTCACTGGCCAACAGTTAACTGAAAGTTCAAATTTTGCACTTTCCTTGCCTCCCACATGGTTTTTTTTTCAGTTTGTAACTCAAATCTAAGTACGTAAGTCAAGTCAATATTTTCCTATGAGAGCGGTTCGTAAGTCAAAATGTTCGTAACTCGGGCCATTCGTAAGTCAAGACCCCACTGTACTACTTCCCACTCAGGATCATCATCGGAATTGGAGTCACCTTAACCCTTGGTATCAGGAAACCCATAAGGTAAAAGGACGCCCCTTTTCCCTTATGGGCAATTCTCAATGGGGAGAATTGGTTTTCTCCCCAGTTTTATATGGGTGCAGAATGGTCATATGCATCGCCCTATCTCAATTTCCAAAAGGCACAAGGAATTGCACACTCAGCCACATACTGTGGATTGATGTCAAGTCTCCCACTTTAGGATCGCCAATGGACTCAGCATGATAAATGGAGGCGATCCATTTCAAAATTTCTGCAACCTTGTAGGCATATGGCCTGGGAGCGTTCAGGCTCGACATCAAGATCCTCGACATCAGACTATGATTCCAAGCAACCATCTAGAGTTCTGGGTCCTGGTCTTGGGTTCCCATGTTTTTGGCCTGCAGCTCCCAGAAATCCTGGCCAGCACAGCTAGTGGTGAAGTTGTAACAGATTTCCATATTAACCAGCCTTTGGTGCTTCTGGCTTTTTCCCCATCTCCATTTATGGATCCTTGCATTTCTTAGATGTCCTCAGAGCCTTAGCTGTTTATGTGTCAAGGACAAAGTCATTTTGGAAAACTACAGAAAACTAAAATATTGTTCATTTGTTACCAAGGCAAAGAACAGGACAGCCAACTATCCTCCCAAAGAATATCCAAGTGGCTGGTAAATGTTATTACCTTGTCTTACCAATTGGCAAGGAAGCCATTGTCCTAGTCCTTAAAGGAACTTTCTACTAGGGTCCTTGCTGCCTCCCCAATCTTCTTGAAAGGAATTCAGATGACAGAGATTTGTAAAGCAGCTTCCTGATCCCAGCTCATGATATTTTTTAAGCATTACAAACTAGATGTCAGAGTTAAGCTAGATGTGATGTTGAGTTAAGCAGTAATATCTTCATTGTTGTTGTGACGTCCCACTGGCCAATAAATGAGTTTGGTAGTCACTCATTAGTGTGAATCACAGAAACCATGAAGGACAGATTACTTACCTGTAACTGTGGTGCTTTGAGTGGTCATCTGTGCTTTCACACAACCTGCACAACTTCCCCTTTGTCTGTCATGCATTGTGTATTTCTCAGTGGCAGACATGAGAACTGAGAGGTAACCATTCAGTGGATGAGCATGTGCTATGTGTGAGGGTGGGGCTAACAGTTTTTCTGAAAGATTCCAAGAATGTCTGTGCAGCTGTAGGAGAACCCCATTAATGTGTATTGACTCAAAAAACTACAGTTACAGGTAAGTAACCTGTCCTTTCAAGTCTCTGAATATGAATCAATATGTTTTTGAATTTACATGTTATATCTTTTCGTTTGTTTAATTTGAAAAACAGCCTCTTGAATATTTCCTTGTATATTTTTAGTTAGTTCTGTATTTCCAATCTAAAACCATATACTTTTCTGCAATTAGAATAGCCAATTTCCAAGATTTCAGTAAACATGGAAGTTAAATATGGAAATTATCTATTGTGTCTCAAATTCTTGCTAATATAGTCTGTTCCCAAAATGCTGAAGAACAGTGCTGCTAAAAGAATGATTGTGAACATTGTGGTCTTGGTAATGGGAAGAACCTGTGAAAATGGCCTTTCATAGTAGATATAGTATAATGTCTTTCACTATATCTATTACAAGCCCCCCCCCCCCCAGGTTTCTGAGGCTTCTGAAGATTGTCTATGTGTTATTTTTTTACCTTAAATATCTGTGGGTTGGAAATTTGCTAACATATGCATATAGACACATGGATGTAGAAACAGAAATTATCAACATATCAAAATTCAAAGGAAACAAATGGATTCTGTGCCATGTAGACATGGCAGCCATGCTTCTAGTTTTTTGAGTTACTCATAGAAGCATAGGAAAAAAATTGCTGAAGATGGAAATAGCCAATGCATAGGCCGACTGCTGACCAGTCTTTTAACACATGTTCTAAGCAGGATAAATATAAAATATGACTTACCTGATAAAGCCTTCAGTAACTCTTGGGGATTAAAGTCTGAATTTGGATTCTTGCTTCTCCCATTCAGGAACACTCTGGCAGAGTTTTCCGTCTCCAGTTCGATGAATTTCAAATTGTAAGCAGCTCGCATGATGACACCATTCTTATCTGGGACTTCCTGAATGATCCAGCTACTCAAGCAGAATCAAATTGCTCCCCATCCAGAACATATACGTACATCTCCAGATAAATAGTACTACACTGTACCTCACACTTGCACAGGTAAATATAGAAGAGGCCTTGAAGGGAATAGGTAGGGTGCATAGTCAAGAGGCACGAGTCATAAATGGTAAAGTGGTTAAGAGCAGCCGTGGAAGCCTTTCTGATCCTTATATTGAGGGTGGTCCCTTAATGGCAGGCCCCAATAAGATCATAAGGCTATACTGTTGCCAGTACTTCCAATCATTTGCTTACTTTATCACATGTAAGGTTTGTTCAGCTTACCATCTGAAGGAAAAAAGATCAACATTGCAAGCTTAAAAGACATATAATGACTTTCTGAACCTGGGGTAACTATTTGTTTTTCAGTTCAAGGAGTCATTTGTAAAAATACTGCTGGTACTTAGCAAGTGGTGCTCTGGTTTACACATAAATAAACTTACTGTGTTCAGTGGGGCTTGCACAGTATATACTCTCTGGAATAGTTGCAATCCTGCCTGTACAAGTAAAGCAGGTGTATAGAGGTGCTTTAGATTTTGTCAGAATTTTATTTATAAACATATGGGTAACAAATAGCTTCCTTGTCTTTTCTCACCAGGACTCATTTAAACTGCGATATTTAAATTATCTGCCAATCCCAGGGCAAAAGAATTATCCACATAACAGATATTAACTGGAGAGAAGCTTTCAGACACACTTCTGGAACCAAGTTGGCATGCAGTTGATCTCGGACAAGGTCTACTCAGCACAGCTGACTGCTCAAGTGCTGCTATCAGAAGATTTCTTTTATCTCCTGAATGACTGATGTGTTAAACCTCACCTCTTCACTCTCTTCTCCCCCACCCCGTATCTCCTCTTTTTCAAAGTGCAGATGTCCTATAAATATATTTAACATGATGCCAGAATCTCTTGCTTTGCTCTTAAGCAGAAAAAGCATTGCCACCATTTATATATCTGGCAGAATCACTGTGTGATGTGTTGTAGGAGGGGAACAGCAGGCTGATGCCTCTGCCTTGGGACTTTAAAAAAAGCAACGTCTCTGCCTGGTTATAGAAGGGCTTCAAACTTTATAGAAGGGCAAAATTCATGCTAAATGAGGGCCCTGGTGGCTAGAAACCAGTTAGGTCATGACAGAAGTAATTTCAGCTTAAGCCCTTTGCTGTTATTAATCTGTATGAAATGTTTATCCAGCAGATGCATTAAATGGAGAGTTTGCTTTTGAGAGGCTTATTGGAGATGACATCAGGTTGTAGTATGCCGTATTTAACTATCAAAGTAAGGGGGATAGTCTACAGAAAGATAATGCTTCATCTTGCAATTTGTGGAGTGTGGCACTTGTTCTCTTTCTCCATAGCAAACATATTACATTCACATTGGAAGCCATCTTATTTGGACTTCCTTCAGTGTTGAGCAAGTGGCTTAGTGATGCAGACTCTTCTTGCTAACTTGGTTGCATTGTTGCACCTGGGCAGACGGTTATGAATTGCCAACATACTCAGTTGGAAGGAACTACTGAATCAGTGGGTGCTTATGATGACTCACATCTCTGTCTGAAAACTGTCAACTGATTTGTAGTGGAAGGGAGACAAGAAAAATAGAGGTAAATAGAGGAGCAGGAAAGATCAAAAGCAAACCTGTCCTTACGGTACTTAGTAATTACTCTGGGAATGACTCAGATAACCACTGCCCTCTAGGGAGAATATCAGAAGTTTGGTCTCCTGACAAAGAGAAGTTAACATTTTGAGCAGAGGTCTGTTTTAGGCTTTGAAGCTCAGAAACAAGAATTTCATTTTATGCTTCAGGACAGACAGATTCCTTCAGTGGCCTTTCTGTTTGTTCCCCTTGGGAATAGGTCTTTTCTCATTGTCTATGATGTTTAGCATTTGCTGTGTCATTCTTTGCGGGTCAGTATTTGATGGGAACTAAAAATAATTAGGCAGCCGGTTCTGCCTCTGTGGTTCTCAACAATGATTCAAAAGGAAGGTCCTGTCTTGTCCATGGATTTTAACCCTACATATAATCCAGACGCATTTCATCATCAAAAGCATAGTCAGAAGCATTTGTTTGCAGGGGGTCGGATCATGTTGATCTGTGTGTGTGCATTGTTGCATGTGTCTTAAATAGGCCCCTCAGATAGCAGCGTTTTGCCTTGCACACAGTGGGGTGGGGTGGGGACATTTACCACATATTAAGTTATCATTGTGTTCACAACTGCCCTTAACACTGTTAAATCACTTTTTTGTCCTACGCTTACAAAATTTGCAGGGTTGAGTATATACAAGATTGCAGATCTGCTGCAGCTGGAGCATTGACAGGTTATTCCCATTCTCTTGCTTGATGGCAGAGTTGTAAGATTAGTGCAATTTTTCCTTGTAATTTTGTGGAGGGGGCTATGGCCATTTCAAGCACATTTTTCTGTTTTACTGAGTTATGAAGAGTTGGGGATCAGATAAGAAATAGCTGGTGCAGCAACCCTTCCTTGACTATCAAGGTGCTGATCTTTCCAGCTACTCTTCCCAAACATTTCTAACATGCTTGTTGATTTTCTCAACAAACATGGTGCTAAACAGTTTATCATAATGAGTAAAATAAGTGCTTAAGGATAAGGTAATGAGATTTCCCAATAAACTACAGTATTTCAGAGAAAGAAATTCAAATGGTGTAGTCGTGATACAATGAGCGTCCACCGTGTATTGGCATAGTGAAAAGCTATTGCAAAAGGGAGACTGTCCCTATCCATCTTGTAGCCATTTAGGTTGCATGAACTCAGCAGATGTATTGACATTAACAAGCTTCAGATTAATGCATCCTCAACCATTTACCTGTTAATCTTGAGAGGAAGGCTTGAAATCTTCTATGTGACCATCTTGTACATGGATACTTAATAAATTGAGTAGTTAATTTGCGAATGCATCTGAAAATGAAGTTCAGGAGGGTTTTTTAATTTTGTTTTTTGTTTGTTTGTTGGAAGGAGGTTGAATTCTACCTCCTTGCTTTTTGAATGAAATGTTAATGTAGAATTGATAGCAACAAATACTCTTGCTTTTATACCAAAGTGCAGAACAATGTGGGCAAGTATTCACAGGAGGCAAAACCACATATAACTGGCTGTTAGTCATGAGAAAGATTCCTGCCGTAAAGATGTGTATTTCTAATACTAGGACAGTTGATTACAGTAAGGCCAGAGGTACTTGAGAATCCCCTGCAAGTACCTCTGAGCCACTTCTTGTATTATTTATTAAACATCTGGGCAAACTGAACATTTTGGTTGTTCTTCTAAGGTTTTATGCTTGTTTGCAAAATTGGAGAACAATAGAGATATCCCACAACTGGGGGGGGGGGGGGAANCTTCATTAAAGGAAAACAAAGCATTGCATGTCTCCTTACCTCCTTTCTGGGCTCACATAATTTAATCTGTCTATTGGAGCCTGTATAAGTGGTGGGATGATCAGCATCTCTCAAAATTAAGCTTTCTGGTCCTGTGGGTTTCCTTCCTTCTAGATCAAGGTCATCAGGGGTTGAAATCAATTATGTTACCACAAAAAATAGCTGTTTGTGTGTTATTTTCTACTATTGCAACATATTGGGAAGAGAATATTCAGCAGGGTGATAGATTTAGTTGGTTTCAGTAATGAAGGTGTATCCCAAATGTGTGCTTCCTCTTTAATATATCCTTTTGGATCTAGGGAGGAAGGAAGAACTGGAAAAGCAGGGGTATAGAAATGTTCCTTAAATGGTCTGTGTGATACATTTTCACAAGACTGAATTGTGCCCCAATTCATTTCCCTCTCTCAACCAAGTGGTCAGCTAGTAATCTTCCTGGAACAGGTAACTTTCCAAACACTATTCTTAACTCCTCAAAGTATACTTATGGACGATCATCCTTTCATATGAAATCAGTGTCACATATCCAGCTAGGTGTGAGTCAGCCATGGTCATAGAAGCACAAACCTCACTGTGGTCCAACTTGACCCAAGCAACCTTCACTTGACTTTAAATGCTGCATGTTAGGAACTGCATGTTCTGGGAGGAGCACCTCTATTTATAAAACACTCTTTACTTCCTTTTTGATCAATAATTTAGCTAATGGAATAAAACACAGGACATCCATCCTTTATTGGGTTCTCCAGTAAAATTGCTGTTGCAATCTATCTCCTGCAAGGCTCTCCAGCATATTTCCTCAAAAACATTGTTGTAAATAGGAAGGATGGCCTAGGTCTACTGAATGCACTCAGTTGCATTCAGATCCTCTCAAGTGACAGCAGCCACACCAGGTTTTGTTAAATTTTGTTCATAATCTTTCAGTGATGAAAAGTATGCTCAGGAAGGAATTCTTTGAACAAATCCATACTAGCCCTGTAACTTAATCATAACCCTAAATCCATGTAAAAGCTATTAGCCAACTTATGCCTGTAGAACTCCTGCAATTTTTTAAAATCTAAAATCACCTTTTTAGATGCAGATATTAGTTGCCTTAAAAGTGCTGCACAGGTTTTCTGGAAAAAATAGGTCTACTCTGATGATCTACTTACGTGCATAGAAAACTCAAAATTCAGTGTTCACAGTAAATGATGCAAATCAATAAAATGTATCCACATTTGCTTATTTTGTATTAATTTGCATGGTTTGTTGTTTGTTCTGAATTCTGCACATGAGTTCTTACATAGTAGCCACACATCGGGCAGGGAGAGGTAGACTGGCAAGAGGAAACCAATAGCTATGCTACATTGGCCAGAGCAGAACTGGAGGCCATGAAGGAAGGCTGCAAAGACTGAAGCTGTGCTCCTTGGCCAGGGCATTTTACAATTATTCCTGCATGCTTTCTGCTGTACTTCCACTGTACTTCAGTCTAGAAACTTAACTCCATGAAAAAAGATTCTCAAGGATCTGATGCGCATAAATTAATACTGTGCATGCAGAACTGGAGAAAACATATCTTTCATATGGTTCCTAAAGCAAATGGTTTATTAGAGAGGTGCAGAGGGTCTTTTTAAAAAAATACCTGGTTTTGTTTTCTACTTGTCAGAGTGTAATCCTACTGCTCACATTTATTGGTTATCACATAATATCAATCTCTAGCTCTGAGGAACTAAAGAAATGGGGTAAATTTTCTTTATCAGACTGTACGTATTGGTTGACAAAGGAAAGAGAAGGTAACAGTTGGTCCACACAATGACATGCTGCTCAGATATGGTCTTTGTTTATGCCTTCAATCCAAAAAGAAAACTACCTGTTCTGCTTTTGTGTGAGAAAACAGAAGTGGCAGTGATGACAGTTTTGCTAATCTAATAGGTTGTTGCTCCTTTGAAAGTAAACACTCAGAAGACAAATACATGCCTGTTTCAACTGCAGGAAGTTCAAAGAATTGTGGACACAGGAGGTTAGGAAAAAAAGCATATGGTCATATTTGTAACTCTGCTCTCTTTGTTCTCTAGATGCTAAAAATAATGAATGCTTCGGAATTTTTGTGATTATGTTCCAGTGATGTGTAGCTAATGTACTAGTGTTCACTTGAGCTAGGGTCATGTGTTTTTTTTTAAAGAAATATTTTAACTGTTCAGAAAATAACTTAAATACAAATATAAGATTAAGCTGTGAACCTGCGAAGTGTTTTTATTTCTTGAACCTTAAATGAAGGGCTTGTTTCCCAGGCACTGTTGCAAGGAACTCACTAGTACAGAAATGCAACATCATTTAATATACTGGCTGCCATTCATTGACACTAGGACAGCTTATTCATAAAATCTCATCTCTTTAAGCGTTCTTTCATTAACAATGGCTTCCAGCTAAAACACCAAATTACTCAAGTGTATTACAGTGGAGGGGACGTATTTAAAGAATATCCTGGGTCCTACAGGATATTTTAATGAAAAATGTTTTGCTTTAGAAGGTCCCTAAAATGTAGCTGCATTGATTAATATTATTGATCTAAACAAGGCCAAATACATAATTATTTGGATTATATGTCTCATTGGATCCACTGCTTGGTCAACTGCATAATGTTTAGCTATTGTGTGAATGCATCCCCTCCAAAAGTTAGTGACTTGAATTTGCACCATTTCAACAGGTAAAGACATCCTAGGCCACACACATCCTTTTTTGCAATCCTATGTATGATGTAAAATGACCTAGTTGTCATAATGCTGTAGTTTGGAATATCCCCTGCCTACTACCTTTTCTCCAGGATGTTCTTGGAGAAAGTTAACCTTTAAAATACAATGTAGTGATGAAAAATGTTTTAGGAAACTTGGAGGCACACTCTGTGGCAGCAGTGCCTTAATTATGTACCATCTGTTATGCTTCTTCTAATGTTGATTCTTCTTCGTAGTGTCCATGTATGCACACAGAAAAGGGTTTGTGTGTGTGCGAAGGCTGTTTTGGAAAGTTCCAGAGCCTCAAAAATGAAAGTGCCTCTCCGCCTATATTGCAAAGTCTGTTTTTGTCTGCACTGCAGTAGCACATGAAGGACTGCTCCAGAGCCTCTGCTTACTTACCTGCTTTTTTGTAGATAAGTCAACTGCCTTTCATTCTTACTGCCTTTTCCCCTTTTCCTTTCTTCTCAACAACAACTATAAGGGTAGGGGGAGTTAGTTTCAACAACCTTCCCTCTCCCCCTGCCCTGTCCATGGCTTCTAGCCATCCCCTTTTTCAACAATTTATGGCCTCAGCCGTGATAAAGAAATGTGCCACTTGTGGCAAAATGATTCCCCGATCTGATGGGCGACCAAGAAACTGGAGCACAAAAGCAAAAAGCATCCAGCAATCTCAGGCGCCTGAGGTAAGAAAAAACTGCAAGTTCACATAAGCATAAGAAGAGCCCTGCTGGATCAGGCCAAGGGCCCATCTAGTCCATCTCCCTGTATCTCACAGTGGCCCCACAAGATGCCTGCGGGAGCACACGAGACAACTAGATACCGGTCTCCTGATACCCTTCCCCTGCATCTGGCATTTGAAGGTACCTTCCTTTTAAGTCTGGAGATTATACATCCCCATCATGGTTTGTAACCTCCAGAAATCTGTCCAATCCCCTTTTAAAGGCATCTAGGCCAGATGCCATCACCATATCCTGTGGCAAGGAGTTCCACAGACTAACAACACACTAGGTAAAAAAAAATTCTTTTGTCTTTTCTCATTCTCCCAACACTCAATTTGAGTGGATGATCCCTGCTTCTGGTATTGCATGAGAGGGAAAAGAGCTTCTCTCTATCCAATTGATCCATCCCCTGCATAATTTTATACGTCTCAGTCATGTTCACCTTTTCTCTAGACTAAAGAGCCTCAGACTCTGTAGCCTTTCCTCATAAGGGAGGTGCCCCAGCCCAGTAATCAGTTCCTGTCTTCTGCACTTTTTCTAGTTCCGCTATGTCTTTTTTGAGGTGTGTTGTCCAGAACTGTATGCAATACTCCAGGTTCTGCCTTACCAGCATTTTGTACAGTGGGATTATAATGCTGGCTTTTTATTTTCAATCCCCTTTTTAATGATACCTAGCATAAAATTGGTCTTCTTCACTGCTGCCACACACTGGGTTGACACGTTCAATCGAGCTGTCCACCAGCACACCAAGATCTCTTTCCTTATCCATCACGCCTATATTGCAAAGTCTGTTTTTGTCTGCACTGCAGTAGCACATGAAGGACTGCTCCAGAGCCTCTGCTTACTTACCTTCCACTAGCTGATAAATAAACTTTAGATTTGGTGCACCAATGTGCATTACTTTACAGTTTTTTATATTGAAATGCATTTGCCATCTTGCCACCCATTCTCCCAGTTTGGAGAGATCCACAATGCTGACCACACTGTAGCTACCTCAGATCTACAGTAACCTATCCGGAGCCAACCTCTACCACCAGCAAAAGACTCCATTTTTGTCAGGGTTCACAAGAAAACCAATATCCCCATAGAAATGGCAATGCTTGAAACCTTCATTGACCTTATTAACCAATCATGGCATAAACTTTCCTCAGTCCCACCAACATATCACAGGATTGAGAACTTCTACAGGATCCAACAGGACAAAGCTAAATTTCTCTTTAAGCACTCTCCACCTAACTGTCATTGTCCAGACAGCTCAGATGAGATCCAAGGGCTCCCTCTTGATATTCCAAACAATAGTGAAAGCCATAAGCTGGCCCTCTTAGCCCACAAGGTCTACTCGTCTGCAACACTCCACATTCACGTAGCAAACTACCAGGCTATAATGATGGTAAAGGTAAAGGTTCCCCTTGACATTTTCAGTTCAGTCGTGTCCGACTCTAGGGGGCGGTGCTCATCCTGTTTTTCAAGCCGTAGAGCCAGCGCTTGTCCGAAGACAGTTTCCTTTGTCACGTGGCCAGCATGGGAA